AAAGCTTCAAATTTGTGTAATTATTTGCACATGATTTATTGTAAGAATGGGCTACGTAATACCCTTGTAAAAGTATTCTAAACTGTATAAAAAAAATTGAAATCAATTGTGAACATCCTTTCCTTATATAGGACGGTCTCTCCTGTTATCTTACTCGCAATACTATCCCAAAACCCTCAGCGATCCCTTCCAAGGTTATGAAATTCTACGTTTCTATCTCTACGCTCATCGATAAGGATACGAATTTGAGAATTGGTCCATTCAATCATTTTTATGATATTAAAAAATAAGATATAGAGAAAGATTCTGCGTTGTTTTATAGACATTTTATACATTTGGAGTTATAAAGACTAAATCTTGGATTAAACCTCATAAGATTTAAAGTGTAATAAGGTGGAAAAATACATTCATTATTATGCATACTGTATATCAACAGTACATCAACAGTACATTAACCGTGACTACATTATGAATATAGTATTATTCAATCATAGTTCAACAGTACATCAACAGTATATCAATGGTATATCAACAGTACATCAACAGCACTTCATCCTAATAATGTCAGCAAATGAAATCTAGTAATATTTCTTATGTATGAAATTAATTTATTATCTATGAACGATCTTCCATAGAAAGTGCTTTTCATATATCCGGAGGATTTTTGAAGTATTATTTATCATGAATGGGTTAATTTATTATCTATGGGCAATCTTGGAGTATGAATGTGATTTTCGGCTATTTTTTTTTTCTAGTAAGTGATCAACATATTTTTTATCTATCTGTATGCTTTATATCAAAATAGTGAGTTAGAGAACTATCCCATGTACCTTCTATATTAAATCCTATATTTTCATATGACGCATATAATTAACCCATGAGTTATATATTTCACCCATGAGATAATCGCATGTTAATTAGGAAATTTCAATAAATTACATATGTGTCTATTCTGAGAGAATGAACTCCGTTCTAGCACTATTACCTTGTAATGACTCTTCGAGTCTAGCTCCGCTATTATATAAATTTTATCGCAACAAATATGTATCTTATTTATAAGTCAAATACTATATATAACCACATCAAGTTTAATAATATTCATAATATTCTGCGATTTTATTAAATATAGCCTATATTTCACTGCAGAGCAGGGCACTTCGTGCTTAAAAAAATGCACCAAGAACTCGATTACACAAAAAATGAATCCACTTATTCTAGAGTATATAAGTATTAAATCAAATAGGTCTAAAGCCTTAAATTCGATACAAATCACATAATCTAAAACACTATAAGTCTCTATTAAATCGTCAAATATGTCAAGTATCACTATTTCTATTATTATTGATAAAAAAGCTAAATCAGTGAAGCTCATTAATAATCATCCTGGATATGATATGAAATATGTAGAGTCATATATCTACGAATATTGTGGTATTAATAATTACCAATGATACTTTGATGAACTCTTCGAGACTGAAAGACAATATGATACTTTATCAGTTATTCGACCCAATGAAACTCCACAACAATGGGCTATTCGGGTCAGAATTCCTCTACAAGAGCTGGTTTCTGAAAAGAAAAGAAGTGTATATCATGTACATTGTTTATTTGGGGGATTTGGAAATTCTAAGCCAATTAATCATGATTACTACAGGCCTAGAATCCATAAAGCCAATGTAGCGATATGTCTAGATTGTATGAAACTTATTCATATTGATAATGTAAAACCAAAGAAATCATTCTATTTTACCAGAAAAAGGTATATCGAAATTATCAAGCCAGATGATTTGATGCAGAAACATTGGGATCATGAGTGTGATAAACCTAAATCTTGAGATGGACATGCAAGGATTATTCAAAGAGCTTGGAGACGATTTCAAGAGAAAGAGCCATCGAATGCACAGCTTGCATGGAATAGCTTACCGAATGATAATACTCCAGATGATAAGAAATTTTTAGGTTTAACTCAACATAAAATAAAAAATCCTCAGACTCGAGAACAATTTAATCAGTGGCGTACTAAATGGATTGAATTATATAAAAACGATCCCATGATGCGCAGTTCCATTATTAATAGACAATATGAAGAATATTATATTCCATATAATTGGATAGATTCTAAAAAGAGTCAATTGTGGACTAGATTCCAAAAGCGACTTTTAGAAATAGAAGCGTAAATATATTAATTATTATACACATCTAAAGTATTCTTGAGGGTTAGTACTTTAAACTTTTATTTATTGCTGTTTCGTGATGGTTAAAGGCTATTTTTTGTTTGTTATCATTATACTAATGATTATATAATAATGGTGTGTTGTCAATATGCGATTAACGGTTGAATTTTTAACTACTTTACATTTTTTTTCAAATTCTATAGAATTCAACAGAATTTTTTCCGGGGTATATACAAATGAAATTCAATCAAGCATATACATATCTGATACAGCAACTACCTCCCTCATTAGTGGAAGAAGCATGGAGACGCCTTACTACTCGAAAACGCAATCCTTTTACACTACTAGAAGCATGTGGTATAGATCCAGCTATTGAAGATTTTTTGCAACATGAAATTATAGTTTATAATAGAAAAAAAGAACGCCAACGTCGAAGTTCATCACCACTTGAAAATTTATCACGTGTATATAACACAGAAATGACTAACCAAGAATCCCAAACCCAAGATACTATTCCGATTTGTACATGTGATCAGGTACATAAGTGCCCTTGCTTTGCAAGTAAGGAAGAAATCAATCGCCAGGTTAAGAAAGAGGTCGATATTTTATTTCAGAGATTAATGGAATATAATGAAAAAACTTTTGGTAAATTTATGCGAGAAATTACTATAGAGTATGGAAAGCGGGTTAATGAAAATAAAAAATTGCGATGTGAAATCGAACAACAAAAGATACAATTACAAGAGACAGAAAAATGTCTCGCATATCTGAAGTCACGCTCTATTCATCAAGTTGACTAATTGGCATATCCCAGCCGACACGTATTCTATGCGGGTGTTCTGGAGGTACACTTAAATCGAAGACAATAAATTTTTGTTCACATAAATGCTTATTAACAATTTTATAGACACTGCACCAGTCATTAACATATAAACGAAGTATTCTACTTAACTAATCTGAGGTACAAAAGCCGTTGAACAATACAACATATTTTAAGTTTTTTCTTATTAGTTTTGGACAGTCAAAATAGCTTTGTGAGACATATATCGAAGAAACATTGGAATGGCGCCCCTCTGTAAAATAAGGTATAATCTTTTCTTGAATTTTCTTTGGTTCAGTGCATACATCCTCAAATATAACCACTGTACCTCTTTTCTGGTGAGAATGAATCTAGCTTTGGAATTTTATCTGGTTTCATAGCCCGAAATGTAATATCTTCACAATATGACTCTGGACTATTTGCAATTATTTGGAAAACTGATTTAAGGTACATGTATTTTGGCTTCTTGAGATAGTGACCAATAAGCACGACATCATCACACTTAATATATCTAGTGCCTCCTTGTTTACCATTAAACATTCTATGTAGTTTATTTCCGCCCAAAAGACGAACAACTTCAGTAGATTTTCCTGTATTAGTTCGACCAGAGATTATAAGTGTGAAAGGCCATTGGGGTGTGCTATTTAATGAGTTAATCTTTCCGGATTAACGTATTCGTCGATATTGAGTACAAATTTCTCGACCGGATCAGCTTTCTATTTTCATCCCGATTAAGCTAAGTAATGCTAAATTATTATATCGAAAAATAATGATCTTTATTGTGATATATACATATTCACTGGATTTTTTTATTCTGATAAATCATAGATTCGAACTTGTATTACACCATCTGTATCTGACTCACTATTCGTATCTGAATACCAACCGAAAATATTGAGAGTGGGATTTTTATTCTGTAAGGTTATAATTGCATTCATGCTGATTTCATCGCAATCAGCAATAACAAGCTTCTGGAGATTACACAAATTTGCTAATGCGGACATAGATTTATCAGTAATATCACACCCTTCAAGATAAAGCTGTTCAAGTTCTGGACACAATTGTGCTATTACACAAATAGATTCATCAGATATATGACGCCAAGATACATTGAGATATTGAAGTTTAGGGCACGAGTCTGCAATTATTCTCACGGACGTATCAGAAACAGCTATATTATCCATATCGAATTTACCTTCTTCATCAGCAAAAGAAAAACTAAGCATATTTGGATGTGAAATAGCTATAGCGCAAATACCATCATCTGTTATCTTCTCACAATTACTCAGGTGAAGATGTCGGAGGTTTGGACATAAGTGAGCGATTTCTTTTAATGATACATCGGTAATACCCGAACCACCTATATTAATATACTCTATTTTTTTACACGACTTAGCAATTTCGATTACTGAGATATCTGAAATATTATTACTATATCCCAAATAAAGATAAGTTAAATTTGGACATAATGATGCGATCCCACAAATTGTTTTATCCTTGATATGATGAGGCTTAGAGGCCTTAATTGCATTATTGTAAAATTTAAGAAATAGTAAGTTCGGATATATGATTTTTCCAATTGTTTTGCTAGAAAATCCATGGCAGTTGCTTATAGTTAAGTGACGCAGGTTCGGACACAGTCCTCTAATCCGATATAAGGTTCCACTAGAGACTTTACATCTAGAAATGCAAATATCGATTAATTTTGAAATATGGAGAGGTTTTTGTGTATGTATCACTTCTTTGAATTTTTCCCAGTAGCTAGGATTTTTTTTGTAACCATTGTCAACGAATTCGACTCTTCTCCATAATATTGGGGCAGAACATAAATACCACAACCGGTTAACAAATAAAGTCGGGTATAAATGTTTTATCTTCAGCAAGATATGATAAAATTTCAGTTAAAAGTTCAGGCAAGGCAAGTGGATGAAGGCCTAAAGGGTCATGATTCGAAGAAGAGACAGAGTCTCAAATCTCCGATTCATCGCCTAGACCCAAAGGGTCATTGCTCTGCGGTAACGGCCTGCTTTGCAATAGTTTATTATATGTCATACTTATGTATCTTTAGATACTAGCTCCGCTATCTTATGAGATTATTCTTTATGCGATAAATAACCTTTTTCAATGAGTATATTTTTAATAAATTCATATAAATCTGCATCATAGCTAATTTCAACGAGATCTATACCTTCTCTTTGACATATCTCCCGCTTTTTTTCGTCACGTACTTTTTGTTCATCCAGATCAATTTGTCCTCTCTTATGGAACATTGAATCAAGACTGTAGTGTTGGATTCCCTGAAATTCGTATGCCAATTTTAGCTCTTCATTATACCCGTCTAATTGCATCCCATTCAAAAATGCCAGTTTACAAGATGGAAATTTCTTACCTAACAGGTCTTCGAAAATATATCTACAGCGACGTTCATCGGCGTGATGGAAGCAAAGTGGACACCATTCAAATTTCGTAGCTATTAATGGATATGGATATTCCCACTGATGCTTTCCGTTTTCACAGGACCAGAGATATACATCAAAATCATTTATTTGGTCAGTTTTCATAATACAATGTCCACCACGCTTCCTGACATATTGTTGCGCTTTAGTCATTTTATTAATAACACGAACGATATTAACAGATCTGGAGTGAGTGTTTTCTTCCAATATACTCTGGGGTGGATACTGAAGCGTATCAATATTCACGTGCATGAGTTCTTCACGTACAAATCCTCGCTTTGGAGGATATTCATCGTCATCGCTCCCAAGATAATATAAAACTGGTTCGTTCTTCGTTACCACAATTTTTCGAATTTTATGAATGCTTGGACTGAATGTGGGATCCGTGGCTCTTTTCTGATTTTCCATACCTCCTTCCCATTCCGCATTAGCAAGCAGATAACGAACACTATCACCCTTCTTTAACTTATTCTCCTCATTTTTCCCAACAGGACGTTTATATTTTGTGGATGGCCGAGATTCAACCTTTTCTAACTTAATTGCTTTTATAGGTGCTAATCCCCATTTCTTCGACCCAGGAGCTCTAATAAGACGCGTTGGATAATTATTTAGGTAATTAATAACTTCTGGTAAATACTTAACCCATTCACTTATTAATTTAGGATTTTTAGATATTGATTCAACGGCGTACTGGATTTTATAAAGCATCTCTGCTAACGTCTTATTGAATCGTTCTACAAGAGCTAATCCACGATGACTATAAGCACCAATTACTCGAATTGTGACATTGTGTTCTTGCATCAACAAACTTACCGATTTTTTAAACTCTGACCCGCCATCACAATGTAGAAGCGTCGGGTATGTAAGAGGGTTGTTTGGGGTCGTCATAAATTTTCCTGAATGCTTTAGCAACCTCCGAACTTTTCTTTGATGTTAGTGGAACTGATGCTTTGAATCGGCTAGAGATATCCACTATGTTGAGAACTGCTACCCATTTTTTACCTTTATAATGATCATGTGTAAGGAATAAGAGGTCGCACTGATGTACACAATTTGGCTTGCTAATTTTTCCATAACTCACTCTGGAAATGTATCTAGGAGGTGGTGCATATTTTTGCCATTCACTTTGATTTGTGAGCCATTTTTTAATCGTAGAGAGCTTAAATTAATGTCCCTTTTTCTGACATTCATCTCTTAACGTCTTTGCGTTGGAGAAATAACCAGTAGGACGGTAATATATTTCTCGCAATATAAGATTTTTTTCAATATCACGAGCTTCATTAGGATCTATAATGATACTAGGGTTACTCATTTTGGCAAGTCAGGGTAAGTCAAATATATTATGCCATAAAAAATAACCATGACATTTCGTCGACCACATCCCAATCAAATATCTCATGGACCAAGCTCTGATCGGGAATTGGAATTGGAGCAGGTAAATCAAGCTTTGAGAGATGAGTTATCTAACGAAGCTTCAATCAATAGGTTGAATGAAAAATATATAAAGGATCTGGAGCGTAAATATATCAGATGCGAGAAAGAAATCCAATCTCTCAATAGAGAATTATAACAGCTTGAGAATGCTTCAGAGTGGGAAAAGGCAGAGTTGAGATCAGAAATCTCTAGCCTTCGTATACAAATCTATAATGCTAAGAAAGAGGTTCGAGATAAGGCTTCTCATATTGCCAATATAGAAAAGCAATTACAAGAATCGGAAGAACATGTTC